TCAGTCGAAGCGGAGAGTGAAAGATAAGATGTCGATGGGGGCCAGATGAACTGAGCCTTGAAATGTTCAGCCCAACGGTCAAGACGGCGTTGCTAATCGTGAATCAGTGTGCTTTCGGATTCCTTAATTACCTCACGCCTACTTTCCTAGGATCCGTATTCCTAATTAGACTACTACCAATAGTCCCAGCCTTCTCCATCTCTCTACATTTTCCTATCCATCACATCTCGCGGTCATTCCTCAGAATCTTGTTGAGCGTTTGAGGGATTGGCGCGCTGTGTTATATGCGGCATCGGGAGGAAGAGTTCTGCGGGCATCCAGCAGAACGGCCGAAGTCGATGAGATTCGTCGTTTATGTTTTGAGCCTGCGTGAGGGTCTGACGTTGTTTTTATTGATATTTGCATAGCTTCCTTGATTTACTTCCAGTGTTCATTGAGTCCTTTGGCCGATGGTTTTAATGACAGGCGATCGGAGAGTTCCACTTCGAAGGCTGACACTTTTTGTTTTTCTTTTTACTTCCTTTTATTGAACATGCAATGGTACAATTTTCAGGAAGGGGGGAAGCGGCCAATAAAAGGGCTGTCATTCAACACAAGTCAGGCGGTGGTGGTGGGATTCGAACGCACATCCGCGGGATGATAATTTGGTGACGTTACCACCGGGCCACCACCGCCCATGTAACGTAGATATCCGTTTTCGGTGGCTTTTTACGGTTGTTTGCCAGGCGTAAGGAGAATTTAGCTCATAGTAAAGTGTAGTCCGTATCCACAGCTGTTGACCAGTAAGATCGGCAGTCTTGAATTGATCCCCTTCAGCGGTAACTGGTGGCGATGTGGTCGATTTGGGTCCAGCGCAGTGAAGAGGTTGGCGGTTTCCATATAAGTCGATGGCGTTTCTTGTGCGAGAAGTTCGTGTTTGACAAGAACAATCCGTGGTCCGTGCAGAGTTGAAGTAGGCAATCTCCGTTGTCCATCCGGTTGGCTGGGATTGCATGTGGTCCGCCAAGAAGCCTTTCTGATTTGTTCAAGGATCCCACTTGAGCACTGAATTCTCCGGCGACTACTACGACGTCCATTGATCGAGCACTTCGAAGTAGTTGAGAAAGATCCTGGTAAAGTTCATCCTTGATTTCAGGTATACTGCAATCGGTCGATGCATATGCCTATACGACGAATAAACATCGACGCTTCATTCTGTAGCTATTGACGCGAACTGAACCGTTGAGGCGTACAGCGCACAATCGGCTACTGACTGCAATCCAATCAAGAAGCGAGTGCTCAGCCTTGGCAGTTAGCGCAATCCCGACACCAGCAACACCGCGA